GGTCCCAGGCTCTCCATGTTGTAAGCCACACAAGCCTTCTGGATCACTTCGGTCAGCTTTTCTGGGTTGCTTTGAAATAACGGTTCAGTTCTGTCTTCTTTCTGAAAGCCAGTCGAAGCACACGGTACACTGTCTCTGCTACAACGGCCTGTTCCGGAAGGTCGAACAGAACCGTCTCGTCGAACTCCTGAGCTTTGGACATCTGACCCTCCTCCATGGGGCGCAGCACTAGTGCCCAAAGCCCTCCGCGGCTCCCGCTGACAGGAGGGATCAGGTCGCCCACTCGCAGCTTGCCGAGCTCCCCTGGTCTGAGGTAGGCCTCTATAGCCAGATGCATCATCAGCCCAAATTCCACTTTCTGCTTGTAGAAAGCATGCTGAGCCATCAGACACACCACCTCTCGCGGGAAGGGCATCCGAGACATTGGGGGATCCAACTTTCTCCAGCCTGTAGCGTCTGTCGAGACAATGGAAGCGTCATCATCTTTGGACTACTCAACTGAGGAAGCTTGAAGAGAACCGCTGCCAACATGTATTGCGCTGAACTCAGGCTCTCCCCCTCCAGCCACATCTGATCCAACACAGACGTCAAGCCTGCATCGATCCTCTCGGCTGAAACCTTCCGGTTTGCCTTCATGTTTGACATCTTCAGGAACTGTCTCCAGCACTCGTTGTACCTGATGGGCCCCACCGCTGCTTCGCAAAGCTTCCTATCTCTGGTAGCTGTTCTTTTCGCTCCTTGCTCTTCTCGGCCTTGGTCTTGGCCACCAGTTGTGAGCTCGCTGAGCCCACCTTCATGGCAGTCTTCTGTTTCTTCCTGGTCTTCCCGGAGGACTTGCTTGGCATAGGAACCAGGTGATGCAGCACCATGTTTCGGCACTGCGACAGGCTTCGACGGAAACAGGGAACCTCGAGAAGGACCGTCAGCGGGGTTCATTTCCGACGCGATCCACCTCATACCCAACGAACAACCAGACCCAAGCAACAATGCTCCAATCTGCTGTGTCACTCGCCGAAGTCAGAAAGTCTTCCCCCGGCCCCTTTCTATTGCGCAAATAGCTGACATCGAGTCTGAAAGAATCAGGTGTTTACAATGAAAGCTTGAAGACCTCCGCAAAAAATGTTTGACAGCATGTAAGGTGGCCCGAGCTTCTAGGACTGGCATGCTTTCGACTCTCTTCCATGTGTATCTTCCAACTACTTTCCACTCAGTCTGCAAACATTGAATGGGAATGGGGTCAAAGCACACCGGTTTGTTTTCTCCAAAACCCCCCAACAAAGGTCGAGTCGCCTCCAGCTGCCCACCATCGGCTGCAGCCCATTGTGCGACATGGGCCTCGTCGGTGTCAGCCGTTGAGCAACCAAAAACCGAAGACCGGGGTTTCCTGAATTTCTCACTCTCAAACCTCCAACGCTCTGAAAACTTCCCAAACTCTGCCACTGTGCTCGTGCCAAGTGTTGTAGTTGTGGCCCCAAGGCCCCACTCTGATGCATCAACCGCTGTAACCTCAGGGTTCCACTGGGCTGAAAGGTCTCTCCAAACAAGGGGAATAATACCAGCAAAAATTCTCAACTCTCTTCTCACAGAACCCCAAAGACGTCTTGGTGTGTGATAAAAACGTTGTATGTAGGTGTATGTGTCCCCAAATACCGACAACCTTCACGTCGACCAAGACAAACAAAGGCTGCGTGACCAATCACCTTTTCAAGCCGGCGCCCGGAGGCAATCCCTTGTTTGAGGATTTCTAGAAGGGCCAGCTTGATTCGCCACACACGATGAGGTAGAGGTCGAATTTTGCTCCCATTGAACTCCCAACCCAGAACCTTTTGCGGTCCCTGTGAGGTCGAGGAGCTTTCCACTTCACGCACCACCAAACCTTTGGATCTGAGCGCTGCAACTCCTTTCTCAGCCAGACTGTCGACAGCGGCTTTGCACGTCCCAAGCACGACAAAGTTGTCAACATATTCAATGTGCATACATGAGTGATCAGGCACCTTGCACTTGTCTTCCAAACACGTGTCTGCTGACGCTCCCACCGATGAGACCACATGCTGGTGCAACTTTTGGCACCAGAACAATGCATGCGACCAACCCATAGGGAGAACCTTCAATCTTGGAAACAACAGCGAGTCCGGCTGAAGGGGCTCCCCTTCGTACGAGGTTACACCGACCTCTGCTGCTCTGACTGGCCTCATTCCAAAATAAGGTCTCAGTGCTACTGGAAGCTGGAAATGGTAAAAGGCGTCCTTCAGGTCTGCACTTGAAATGAAAAGCTCCTCCTTGCCTGGAACCTCTATCCGTGTCATAGCCTCTGCTGTACAAAGTCGCACCTTTTGTGGCGCTGCAAAGTGGCAGTTCGACAACCTGCAGTCGCAAACCATCCTCAAGCGCCCATCTTTTTTTCCCAACAAAAAACATCTCAACCCTCTGCTTGTTGCGCGCAGGAGTCAATCAACAATGTCTGCTGATTGCAACCGCTGAACGAAGGCTCTATAGGTTCTGGGTTCCCGTAGTCTTGGGTCACTGTACGCTTCTCTCAAGCCAATGCTTTTGATCCGCTTGCGAGCTTCATCCTCAGGCAGAAGATGGGAGTCAATGAAATCTCCCACAACGTCACAACCTGTTTCTCCAATCAGTTTCTCCAAGGGCACGGCTTCACTGCCGCGTGAAGGTAAAGACAGGAGCTCAGGCTTGTAGGGTTTCACCGAGCACGGCGTCTGGCTGTCGCCGTACCCATGGAAGGCGTGGAGCTGCTGAAGCGCCCCGCCACCGGTCAAGCCCTCACGTATCGGGCCCAACATGTTGATTGAATTCTGAATGTGCAAAACCATGTCGCGCTGGGATTGTGACCAGGTGGAACAAGCCTTCGCTGGCTCCACCTTGCCACCACTGTAAAGCGCGTTCAAACAACGGATGCACTCCTCAACCGCCTCCTCACAATGAACTCGTCTCTCCAATCGCCGCTGAGTCTACGGCAACCAAAGCACTTCATCCAAGGTCGAGGAAGACAAGAAGGGAGCGGAAAAATGTCCCTTGGAACGGACCTCTGCGCATCATCGAATTCGGGCGCTGGAGCTCATCAGGGGTTTTCCTCTTTGCTTCTTCTTCTTCCGGTTTAGCTCCCGCTCCTCCTTGGCTTTCCGGAGATTCTTTGCCAACAGCACTTCACGTTCTGTCTCTTCTTTCACATGGTTCAGGAGGGATGAAGCAATCATGAGGGTTCCTGCATGCCGAACGACCGAGCCGAACACATACTGTTCCTCCAAAGCCAGACGTCCTCCAGCTAGCTTACTCTCAGCCTCCCTTGCCTTCTCTGCATGGCTGTACTCGATTGTCTGCAACCGACGAAACATCATTTCAATGCCCAATGAATTGCAGCCATTGACGCCATCAACTTGTAACAAGTTCCGCAACATCATAGACAATTGGAAATGCTCCTGCACAGCCCATGACCCAGCATCGAGGCGGCACACCTGACGAAAACGCTCATGGTGTTGTTCCAGTCTTAATCCCTCAACTGTGAGATAATTCAAGCACCACTGGGCCGTTCGAGGACCCTTCAACTTCCAGCCTAAGTCCAGCTCCTTAGATGCAGCAGTGGCATCCGCCAGAGGCACCTCCGGTGTTCCAAGGGCATTCTTCTTTCTGGGAATCAAACGCCCGTCGCACAATGAAGGTCTGTTGTTGAAGTCCTCAAGTCCAGCTTCAACGATGCACATGCAGAAAAGCGATCTCCCATCAGGAAGGGTGTGAACTGTCTTTGCATCTCTAGTGGCTGCTACTCCAACACCATCAATTACCTCTCCGTACCTAATGCCCTCGATGCTTTCGGCCGCAACCCATGTAGGAACTCCAGGGGCTAGATCCCTGGCGCCCGGAGCCTTGGCCTCAGTCAATGCCGCCACCCCTACAGCCGCGGCCGGAGGGGGTGCAGGCGCAGCCCGAACAACTCCCCCTCCCCCAGGCCACGCGCAGTCCTCTCTGTTTCACAAAGACGGCGAGCTTCATCTCGAATGGCAATCAACTCGGCAGGTGTCCATGGGGGGAGTCCATACACATCAGCTGCAGCAACGCCGGGAGGCAGTTGGTTCGCCCCCGGCCTCATCCGGAATGCCCTCAAGTCTCCGTTGTCGGGACTCAACTGTTCCACGAACACGTCCCGGTCTGGCGTGCACACTACGTACTCGTCACCTTGTACATGGTCAAGGATCAAACGTTCGTGAACCACCACCGGACCCCCAACATCATATTCCAATAGCGCGATGCGATTGGTGAGCATGTCTCCTGACTCTCAATTCTGCTAATTGGTTCCGAGCTAAATCTCCAATGCTAGGCTGTGGCGATCTCAGACTATTCTCAGGGCTTGACTCAGCTTCTTGAAGACGCCAACGCCGAAGGCCCCAAAAAACGATGCAACCGACACAACACACTCCCAGCAAACCCAAAGCCACAACACTGATAGGTAGGATCACACTGTTCCAACTGTCCAGCCCTGACCAAACCTTTGAAGTGGTGTAGGTGGGGGTTGACACTCCCAGCTCACTCTCAAGGCAGAATTTCAAAGTCTCAGACACGGCCTTCCCGACAGCTCTCTCAATCGAGTCACTCGAGTCCGACCGACCGCTCAACCAAGCCAGCAATGGAACGGTGAATGCCACCTGACCAACGATCAGACCGCCGGAACACCCATGGCATGCGGGTCCCCCTTGAAGCTTGAGCCAGGGAAACCACGGGCGGCCAGACTCAACAAGGCACCATTCAACAATCACGTTCATAGAACACTCATGGCTCAAGAACATCCCCCCTGCTGCAATTGTAAAAAGCAAAGACATGAAAAGTGCAACAACTGAAGCCTTGAACTTCGTCCGGTACAATTCGTCGGCTGTGATTGCTTTGGGCATCACTCGTTCCCATCGGCGGTATTGAGCTGTTCAACTTGCCTATCACTTGAACCTAGATGCAACGTTTCGTTCGTTGACACTCACGACTTCCTTTGGTCCTCAAATTGCTTTCCTTCGGTTCGCTTCAATCATATTTAGATAATAAATACATCTTCTTGCACTATCTTGCACCTGCCTTTGTCTTCCTGCTGTGGCAAAACAAAGGAGCAGACACTTGACATCTCTGGGTTTCCATGCCATCTTAGGCTTCATGATCTTGATCTTTTCGGATAGCTTCAAGGCTTCTGGATGTCTACTGCGCCAGTGTGCTGGGATTCACTGTATTTTCACAGCCCGCATAGAACCAGTGAAAACTAAAGACTTCCGACGGCCCAAGCTCCTGTCTATGGCAGACATGGACTGCTTGCTGTGCACTCCATCCAGCTCAGGCTGTTCCTGCCAGATATCCAAGGGCTTCTATGACCGATGTCACCAAAAGCACACCTCCTACAATGCCTCCGTTTCACTAGCTTGCCTGCTTCTTCAATCTGGACTTGCAAATGCATCTCTCAGGTGTTTATGGTGCCAAAAGTGAGCAGCACATGGTTCTCAGACTCAAAGTATGTGTGCCCCTCAAAGTATCAGTTTAGCAGGAACTTTCAAAAGTTGCATCTAGACCTCCAATGCTATGACATTTTACAAGTGCTTTGCTCCCCGCCCTGCAATGAAACAACATGCGCGAGGCCCCTGTGGCCCCGTCCTTCGGCATTTTGGCCCGCACGGCGATTTCTTGATCGGACCATTGGAGGTCTTGATACCTCAGGCACGCAGCTCGGCGCTCGGCGCTCAAGTCCATCAGAGCCGATCTCAAAAAGTCCAGGAAAGACGATACCCTCTGCCCTATCATGGAAGCTGAGTCATCACCTTCCTTGTACAAAATGGGTCTTTCAGAGGCCTGCGTGGCCATGATTCTTTCGAGTCCGATCTCAACTGGCGTCTCCGGACGGATCAATGTACAATGCAACGTGGTGCACTGTCTCAGGCACAGAATCCTGCGGAGAATGATATGGAGAACATTGAACATCTTGATTTTTTTTGCACGCCCTACTTAATCAAGGGAGTAAGCTCCTAGCTACTAAACGAAACTGGTAACTGGACGCAGGATAGCTCACGCTCGCTCTGTTCATTTGGTTCCTAGATTTTTAGGATAACTCAACAAGAACGGGGCAGAAGACTGTAACTGAGCGAGGTGACGATACATGATGCCCTGCGATGTGGAAGTGCAGTGTGGTGATGTGGTGGTAGTGCAATGTGAGGATGTCATGTGTGGTTGTCTGGTAATTTTCATGTGGTGCGGCATGACTTTTAGACTTTCTGAACGCTAGCTGCTCCAGTTATTGCGCCGCCACAAATTCTGTGCAATGTGAAGCTCAGTTCCAAAAGCTGGCCAAGTGCTGCATCTGAGATCTTGCGACTGCTCTCAGGAGGCATCGGATTCTCAGAAGATGGCATCAACTGCTGTCGTTGCATGTCGTTGCAGCAAAAAAGTGCCTCTTCATACACAAGACCCGGAAGCATCAGGCTCTTCTCAGGAGATCGGTGGTCATCAATCGACAGCCAAGCATTGTCCTCTAGCTGAGGCCAGGCAGTGTAACGGCCGAAGTTCCTTCCTCGACAATGTCACAATGACACGCGATGCAATCTGAAACAAAGCCATGCAATGTCCGGCACTGTTGGGGACTCAGCGCTGGCATCAAAACCGTTTACTCAAAGGTGAATTTGGGGTTGAACTTGCCTGCTGCTAGCAGTGGATGCGTTCCGTCAAAGAACAAGCACCGCGTCAGGAAGGACAAGTAATATCCGGGTGTTCGTTTGCCCCGCTGCAATGTTCGTGCGCAAGAGTTTGGATGCGTGTGGTGGAAAATGGACATGACAGCTTCTTCCCCTGAATGAATGAGCAGCAGATTCATTGCCACCCTACTTTGCTGCCACGGGTTGGCATTGCAGTCAGCGAAAGAATCCCAGCCATGTCCCGGCCATGGCCTCCCTTTTTCAATCCTGGAAACTACTCATCAACTGTCGTAAGATCCAAAAAACACCGACAACTTGCTTGCTGTGCAGGCGGAGGAACAGGATTAGGGGCAGGATTATGTGCAGCAGGAGCACGTATATAATCAAGCAAGCGTCTTGCATGCAAGCTTTGATGAACTGCTTTCCTAAAGAGTGGCCAAGTTGGTGCCGGATGCTTTCGCACGACTGATGTTTTCGCCAACATGGAGCCAGAAAAATAACACGTGCTCATGCGGCAACTCCAGCTGTGGCTCAACCCTCGTGCCAAGGTGACAAAGCATTCCACCCGCGCGGATTTGGGTCCGGGCCAGAGGTCAAGAGACATGCTCAAACCAACGAAATGGTGCGTGGACAAACAATGGCTCCGACCGAGGCTCGTTCTGGCACTTGTCATGTGGCATGTGGTGAAGTGCAATGAAATTGCGTGTGGTGATTGCTCTAGAAATCCCTTCTATACAATTATCTCTAAAAGTTCCTCTCCTTACTTGTTTTTCTCTGGGACTCTGCATCATCTGCAAACATTTCGTCACACCGCCGTGAGTTACAGGCCCGGAATTAGGATGGAAGAAAACGGGCACGGATCTGGCGGAGAACTGGAAAGAGACGGACTTTGTTGGAGAAGATGCAGGGAAAAGGAATGTGGGAGAAGGAAGGCTGGGCGCAGTGAAGAGAAACTGAAAAAAGAGAATTGCGTGGCAGGTGCAGATGTCAGACACGAAGTGCAGATTTTTAGCCTTGTAAAATTTTTCAAGTTTGACACGCTGCACAACCTTTGCACACACCACTCCTAGGTGCAAACCAAACCTAAAATAGATGCGTCGGCCGTGTTCCCAACATTGACAATGTGCACTAAGCATCAATGCAGTCCAGCTATGAAATGCCCCCATAGCAAGCGTGATGGGTGCAGTTCAGTGTGGGCCCTTTTTAAAATATGTTGTGTGCAGTTCGGTCCTTGCCCTTCAGGTCCACCCAAATAGGTCTGTCAGTGATATCCTCTATCATCTGCTTTACCTGCAGTGTCGGAATGCAAAAGATGCTACTCTGACAAAGGAGTAAGCGCCTCAGGAGTGTGGAGGGTGGCGCTGAAGAACAGGGTCTGGACCTCAGCTTTAAAAACAAAACACCTGAAACAGAAAATACCCTGCTTCATACCATTGAACGGTTGATTTGGAAGATGAAAGGATATGTGCGTTGATATGTCTACTCATTGCTTGACTAACGAGAATCTACTGTCGACAGCCTTATATTATATGTATGCACAGAAAAACTTACAGACGCCCAACACATAGACATATCTATACTCTATACAAATCTTTACACACTTGTTTCTCCACTGTGGAAGGAGGGTGCAAACGGCCTTCTCGGCCAAAAGTGGCTCCTTCACCACCCAGCACTGGCAATGCTGCATCTGGGATGGCGGCTGTTTCACTGGGAGAGCACCCAGTCAAAAACCGAGCGGCCTTTCAACAACTTGTCCTTGGTGTTGTTGGGCAGTCTTGGCATGAACTGCACTGCCCATCTTTCCTGCGTGTAGATGTCCATCACTTTCGAAGTAATCCAGCGGCCACGTCGCCGAGTGAACTCGCTGTCTTCGCTCACCATCAGGAGCCACGAAGCTCCCCCGGCCCTCAACAACCCTAAATTGATCATCTGCTGGCATCCAGCATGAGAAGCATCAATGAAGTCCATTCACATCCCAAAGCAGAGCTAGGTGCTTGACCTTCTCATACATTTCGCGACCAAGATCAGGCCGGTCACGCTATCTGGCTCCACAAAAGCGAGCCACAGCATGTCCGACAAATAGCTCTCCAAGACGCTGTACCAAAAAGTTTCAATCTTGAAGGGTCAGGCACGGTCGGGCTGCAGTTCCTCAGCTGGCACTTCATCTCCTTACTTTGGTATCATTGGCAATAAATGAACACAGCACGTTTGGGATGAGGTCGGACCGTGCCGACAGAGAGCCCCAGAGATCGCCATATGAGTCCAGGTCCAGAGAGGGCATCCAAAAAGAGCACCGTACACAGTGAGGTCCAGCGACGAGAGGGAGAAGGGCGGAGGAAGGAAAGAGAGCAGGGAAGGAGTGACACCTGACAAGATTGGCCAAAGGCCTGCGGCTCCATTTCGGGAGCACTACAGACTGAAGTTCCTTTGAGTGTCCAGCAACCATAGCCGTTTCAATACCAGACCGTTGTCATGTGATTGAGCTGCACGATATACCAGCAAAATTCTTCGCTTGAGCATCTTTGCATTCGGTGCTTCTTTTGCGGCGAGTGGATGAGCCAAGCTCCGCTTCCGGGCCACTACAGACTTCAGTCTCAGCCTTTGAGTGTCCATGCGCTGAGTCTAAGTATCTCGATAGGTGCATGTTACATAGGTACCTAAATGGATGGATGGATACATGGGTAGAGACAAAGAAGCAAATGGAGAAAGATAGCCAGACAGCGAGGTAAGCGTCTGTTTGGCATGCACAGGATACTAAAAAGGCATTTGTAATGACTTCAGCGGTTTTTTTTCGAACCCATAGCTGCGTCTTCACGACCCCACCGACTCCCATAACTCACTTCGCTCGTAAATATGGAACTTTGGCCTAGCCTAGAATCAAGTTGGAGTATGTTCCCACTGACTGAGGCGCGACTCTCTCAACTGCCCTGCATGCATTGCGATCTCTACGCAGCTATCCAACCCATCTCTGTGGGGTCTGATACCACATCCAACCCTTGCTGGGCTTTGGGCTCGATCCCTTCGGCCTCGCTTGATCTGTGCATTCAGCCGAGGGATTTCCTGGACCAGACTGCAGAGGTTGGATGGAATTCAATGTTTTTTTGGCGTACGAAACCAGAGTAAACAGTAAACAGAACTTCCCAGCACTTTAACAGTGAAACCTTAAGCTGTCCCAATACCTGCTAACTCCAGGACAATACCGCTAAGGAGTCTTAAATGAAGAACTTAAGTTTCACCAGATAATCCCCTTTCCTGAAGCCTTTCGAAGGCTTCCTCAAGGAATCTGGGCCTTGCGGTCATCCTTCTTTTGCAAGTCATCTGCTTCATCAAGGACCAGGAACTTCAGATGAGTTACGTCCTGAGCTACCAAGTCCAATGAACTTGCTCAGACCAACGATTGTCTTTGCTGCCACTCAAAGCGTTTGCCTTTGCACGACAGCCTTCTAGGAATCCAGGCCAACTTTCCACGTCGGACATAGTCCATCAACTTCTGCAAGGTTCCAACCTGAAAGTTGTGATCGAAGTGACTGCACTGCACTCACCCTTCGACATCGTCAAGCCAAGGCAAATGCTTCCATATGGATGTGTATGTGTATATATATATATGCATCTTCGTCCAAACAAGTCTTACCTTGCTTGGCTTCCCTGGCCACAATGTCCACACCTTCTTCCAATGCTCGGAATTGCTCCTGTCAAATGAGATTGATGGGGTCACTTGCAAAAGGGATGAGCTCGAAAGCATCAGGCTGCTCTCGGTTACCACAATCCTTCTATTCATTTCCTCCGCCAATCCGTGACAGTCTCGAACGCCCATCGCCTTCTCATCAATTCCTCCTACAAAGAGTGTGATGCGAACGGTGGGGTTGTCCAAATACTTGTTGAAGGTGGTCATGCCTTGGCGAGTTACACCAGCCGCCCAAATGGGCGCTGTGCTTTTTGTGGCAAAAATATCATGTTCCGCCCCAACATTTGAAGGCTCCAACACCCTCCCCCGCCGCTAAGCCTGTGCGTTCAGAAGCTCAGACTGTCGCGGGAGTTCAACATGCAAAGCTCCATCATTTGCTCTAGGAGTTCAAAGTGTTTGGACACGTATGAACTGGTCCTGAACCAGAGAAAGTCAGTTGTTCAAGTCTGTTCATCCCAACATGTATCTCCAAAGCCAAGCCTCTCAAAGTTCCTGATGCTATTACCGCGACAAACATGGAGGTATTGAGGTTGAAGGAGTTAGCATCTGAGGACGCTGCATTTGTAGGTCTGTTCGGCCAAATCCCTGAGTCAAAATTGAACTCCAAAGGGTGTAGATAACAGGAGTGTCTGCAGAATCATCGGCAATCAAACGAGCAGCTAGAACAACAACTATTCGGATTCGGATGGATGCCGACGCAGCCACCCAAAGCATACTTGCAAGCATCTTCCTGACCTGGTTGGCTCTAGGATCATGCACAAGGGTGGCCGCTTACCTCAAGGAGTGAGAAGACAACCACTGGCAACCAAAAGCAATATATCCTCTTCCAGAACAACCATAGTTTGTTCTTTTGATGTTATTCATGTTTCACACATGTTCTTTGGGGAGACACAATCAAAGCCGCCAAGTACCAGACCCTTGGCTTGAGATGTGCCCTGTGGCGTATGTGTTGGGTCGATCTCACCTGGCAGATGTCCAGTGTTGGGTTTCTCGCACTCAGCCAAGCGGCTGATGGAAGGACGTAGAATCCAAGTAACATATGATGTGTGGTACAACGCACCAAGTGCTTGGGTGTAGCAAGTGCTCCCAAATCAAAAGTTCCTCAATCGAAAACAGGCCCCATCCCGACTCTAGTCCACACCGGCATCGAGACCTACAGGAACGTAGCCCTCCACCGGGTACTCCATCGGGCCATCGAACTTGGCTGCAGCCATGAAGCCCTTCAGCGATGTTCTTACATCAGCTAAGAGGCCACTTCTCTCTGCCACTTGAAAATGTGTTTTAGGTTCACTGGAAAGATTTTTCCATCCTGGGACTCTATATATATATATATACATAGAAAGACTTAGGCGGCGCTCACACGTTTTTGGCTGCTTTGCAAGTGTCAAAAATAAAGATATATACAAGACATCAATTAGCTTTCTCAACTCCACTGGTCCCCCTGAAAAGTTGTCGCCAAACCGACGAACTCTTCAGCTTCAGAGACCGCTTCGAGTTATCCCTGGTCGCTCCGCCAATCCGGAGTACCCCAGAGCCCAGAGCCTCATAACTCTACCTTTTTGAGGGAGGGAGGGAGAGAGAGAGAGAGACTTCTCCCCACATCAAATCCTCAGAACCCTTCATTCTTTCTCGCTCTACTCTTCAGCTTTGAAGATCTGACCCTGCTTCCGAGCTCAGCCCGGGTGGGCAGGGTTAGGGAAGTTGAGCCGGAGCTGCGATCAAAAAATGGTGTCACGTTTCTTCGTCTTTGGCTCAGGCGCTCACAAGCTCTATCAAGAAATGGAACAACAAGCACAGCCTCCAACGCAGCAACGAATGCACATGGTGGTGATGTTACCAAAGAATACCACCCTGGAAAGGCCCATCACCTTGACCTCCGTGCCCTACAAAGACATTAAGGAGATTTCTCAACTCCACTGATGGTCCCCCTGAAAAGTTGTCGCCAAACCGACGAACTCTTCAGCCTCAGAGACCGCTTCGAGTTATCCCTGGTCGCTCCGCCCAACCGGAGTACCCCAGAGCCTCATAACTCTGTCTTTTTAAAAAAAAGAGAGACACTCCTCCCCACATCAAATCCTCAGAACCCTTCATTCTTTTCTCGCTCTACTCTTCAGCTTTGAAGATCTGCCCCTGCTTCCACGGCCCCATGTCCTGCTTAACAAAGCGGGCTCAAGCGTAGGCAAAGGATGGTGAAATGAATTCAACCAGATTTGGCGAAAACAGGTTGAGACTGGTCAAGACTGCTAGTCCATCGTTATAATGCAGGTTCGAGCCGTGCGAGCATTCTGCCAGAAGTCTATCTAGCTGTCCCCGCTTCTGGAACCAATAAGTGGCTCCGCCTTGTATCACACACGGAAAAACCAATGGCATTCAGTGTGTCATTAAACATCTTTCTCCATTCGGCAGGTTTATCACAGAGGGAATCAAAGGGTTTGGCCGAGAGTTTCCCCAGTGCAACCAACGAAGCAGCTGCTCCACTGTGAGCTCTGCAGCGCCTTGTCGCTGTCCGCCTTTAGTAAAGCCCAAAGATAAAACAGCCGGTCCACGCGCCGACTCGATGGCCAGTGACCTACCATGCCCGTAGAATCCCGCAAGGAGTGATAATGCAGATTGGAATTGTTGCCGAAAAAAGGCGTAGCCGACCATGGTCTGTAAAACCTCCTCAGGCAGTGGAGGAGCCCGCACCGGGAGACGTTTGCGGACATCGGGTTGTGCGTCCTGACGGCGGCCACTGTGTCGGAGGCCAATGCACGGCCAAACCCTTCACTCCACAGGTGTTCCAAATATTATTCCGCCAACAACAATTCCAGGTCATGGGGGCTTGATCAGGAACGCGACGACCTTCGTCGCGCAGATAACTCCAGAACTGTTCCAGTGCTCCGTTGTACCTAGTGCGGGTGGCTGGCTGAGCTGTGAGAGACTTGAGACTACCAAGTTCTGCTCTTCTCTTCTTTCGCTCTTGCTGCGCGCGTCCTTCAACATGGATGCGACCTATTTTACCCAGCGCTTGACAGGCCGGTCAGTGTGGACATAAGCCCACACTGCATGGCATCCGGACACCAACAGCAAAGAGTCTATTTTGAGAAGAGTACGACGCAACTTGCGGCTGCTCGACCGACCACGCGACAACGCGCGCAAGCAAACCTGTGAGTCGACAAGATGAACAAACTTGGTTCTCAACCACCCCTTCCTGCCAATCCGCCAGCGGAGGGCAGTTCCGACAGCACGCAGTTCAAGCCCATTTTCTGTGTTCAGGATCTCCACGCCAACGCCAACCGCATACAGTACGCCACCGCCAAAGGTTCGAAGGAAACCTGGCGCGCAAACGATGATACCTTCGCACATTTTGTGAGGGAGCCTGAACCAAAAGGTCTTCACCCTTTCCACTGACAAGGCCTGTGACTTTGCGAACCAAGAGGTCATCGTGGGGCAGAATGCTTGCGCGCGGTACTCGCATGAAAATCCCTGAAAAGTGGGACTTCCACCCGGCCGACAGGCTCATCACGCGCAACTCCAAGGCAGTACAACAACCACGCAATGACAAACACGCACCAAGAGTTGCCGATGAGGGACATCCGCTCATCCAACCAAGTTGAACCCTGACGCTGCCCCTTGGGGCAGCACTGAGTGGTGTATCCTCGCGGGAAGCCCATCAACACTTCACGCTCCTCAATGCGGGGAATCCTGACTTGACCAGCTTTGTTGGCAACACCCAAGGCTGTTCGATATTGGTAGGGTGGAAATCTGTGAGCGTCCTGGTACTAGTTCATCGGAGTTGCACTGTTGCAGTCCGGCGGGCTTCCGACCAGGGTGGTCGCGAGGACGACTTGTGGTGAAAGTGGGAAAGGGTTTCGGTCAGCTTCTCCCAATGAGCTCCAGTGACCGAGGAGATGGAGGCTCCACTAGGGCCCTCTTCCAGCTCCCATGACGGCCAATAAAGACGAGGTCGGCGGCATCCCTACACCTGCATCAATCTTCACAGGAGTGGACCCAACGGACTTGCTCATGACCACACGATCTTGCACAGATTCCATCAAGCAATGCACCTGTCCCCAAGGAAATGTGTTCGCAACAACAGCTGAGTGATGCGCTCAACATGAGGAAACAATGAGCTACGGCGGTCGCGCAACGTGCCTCATTGAGCCCGGACACTCCTTGACACGGAGGCCCCGCGCCAAAAAGCACCGTTGGGCGGGGAGGGTTTTTCCCATTGCAGGGAACCTCTTTCAATTTGTTTGTGCAATAGAGAGGGGTCAGATTTTAGACCACCAAAGACACCTGTGAGTATATTGGCACGCCCAAGCTTTTACAGAGTCAGAAGTCACATCCTCAACACACTCCACAAAGACAGTGCCCGGGAAACGACTTTCTACCGCACGCCGTGCTGGGCCGTGACACTCCACGGAGACGTGCCCGGTCACTCTGAGCCCTACTGCATCTGCTGCAACACGCACACCACCAATGCCGTCGAACAGTCCAACAGTGAGGACCGTGGGAACATCTTTCACCTCAACAATGTCACCCACTTGTTGGTTGGCTGCAAAGGTGCCCACTTGGCTCAGACCAGCGGAAACGATGACTCCCCCTCCAGTAGTAGATGCGTCCGAAGCTGCGACAAGCTCAACCGGAAGTTCATATTTGCAAGTGGAGCCACCAAACAGGAACGGGCCAACTCAACTCGTACCTCCACTGGTATTGCCTGACGCGGAGGTCCTGTCACGAACCCCTGGATAAACTGCCAAATCGCTTGTGGGTAGCCCGGAGGGACTCAAGCCAGGGAGGACAAGCGCCCTGAACCTTCTCCGCCATGCCTTTGTCAACCTTCTCCAGCGTGTCAAAGTTATCCAGGTACACCCTGAACGACGGATTGCTCCATGTTCAGCCTCCCAACCAGGGTTCCAGCCCTGTTGCAACGACTCTTCAACCGCCTGCAAACCCGTGGATGCGTTGCGCCAACAACACCGAATATTCGGCGAAGCCCATTGGTAACACACGACTGCGCAGGAAGTACTCCTCATCCTCCGAGGGACACAGCACACCCGGCACGGGCTTTCCAAAGGACAAATACGGACGCCAAGACACAGGGACGGTGAAGATGTAAAAGAAGCATCTCACGTCTTCCAAGCTCACCAACAATGTCTCCTGATCTCCTACTTCAAAAGGATGCATATAGACGGCCAGGTCGGAAGGGTGCTGAATGTCGCCTTGCATCGGACGGCAAATTTATGCGGTTCAAGGGAATCAAACTCATGATCAACCGATTTACACTGACCCCATTGACTGTCTCTTCCCTTGGGGCCCCGAAGAGCCCGCTGAACAAGGGTTGACCTTTCACGTGGTGAATGTCGGTCTTCCGGGCGATGCCGCAAATGCCTTCGTTGAGGAGGCCTCGGCACAAGGACTCCCATTCAACCTCAGACACCAATTGGGCGGTCTGACCCTCATCTGATCCGCCTCCGGGAGCAGGTACTGCTCGAAGTTCGTCACATAGCGCAAACACCCTTTGCTGACCACGTCCATCAACGGGACACTCCCGACTTTAAGCGCGTCCGTCAACGGGACGCTCCCGACTTCATCCGGCAACGCTGGTGCCACATTCGCCCAGCTTGTTTGCTGAGCTACCTTCACTTCATCCCCTTTGTAATCTATCGCCCTCACCTTCATGTAATCGCTCAACCATATCTTCCGCCTCTTCAACCAAAAACGAGCAAGCCCTGAACTGTATACGTGAAACTTTTGACTTAGGGCAAGGATCGGATCTACATAGGTGATTGAGACCACACATCAACCCAAACCAAATCTCACGAACCTCAAACGACAAAACGACGAATTGGGGGCGGTTCACTAAACTATCAACAGGAAGAGGTAAAACCTCTCCCGTGGACTCGGCCTTGCAAAGCTTCGACGTCGACAGTCTTGCCATTGCCGAACTTGAAGGTCTTCTGGATGTCCTGATGGACTTGAACTTCTTCATGGCCGTACTTGGCCAAGGAATGATCTCGGGAGCCACAAATGAAACATCCAGTGTATTCTGGATCACCAGGTCGTTGGCGTCCTTTCTCATTCTCATCCAGAAGGGCTGGATGAGCTTGCAGCCATGACCGATGGGGCAGGCTTGCTCTTGTTCTTCGTGAAGCTCTTTCCTTTGGAGTACTTGCCCTTGACGGAGGGGAAGAAGCCTCTGTTGTTGGTCTTATTCTTCATGAGAGCTCGGGCCTCGACAAAAGTGCGAACCTTGTCCTCATAGGCCGCATACACTTCACATTCCACCATGAGGTCTGAGTCCATGGTGGCTCTTCCCAAGACAAATTGGACCACCAGCAGTCCTCATCCTCGGGGCCAGGAACAGGCTGCGGAAGTCGTGGGCCAATGCGGTGAACTGGTATCTCATCTTGATCAGTCAAGAAAAAAGAGGTAATCGGCGGGGTCAATCTCGTAGTAGCGGAGGAGGGCCTACCAGTTTCGGTAGCTGGTTGAAGCCCTAGGCTCCAAAACAACCAACCAAGGATGCCGAAGGTGTCGCGCGGTCGCAACGTATGGCTTTTCGCGAAGCCGGGTGACGACGCCGTCATGTGAAGGCTTAAGGAATCCCTTTTGGGTCCAGAGGTGCAAGCGGCGCGAAACGGAGTCGACAAAGGTTCAACCTTCTCGACATGTCACGTTCAGGATCCTGAGAACCTAACAACCACACTCTCTCCTCACCTTCAACGCCACCTCGTCCTCTAGCTTTGGGTCTAGCTGCAGGCCTTCTCAATGGTCTAGGGGACATCAATCCTTTTTCTTTCTCAAGCGTTGTACCTCCTCAGGCAATCCCTTGAACTGCCGTTGGCCAGCCTTCTTCTTCTCACCCTTGTTGCGGCCTTGAAAGGGTGACGGTGACCGAGGGCGAAGTACGGGATTGTGACGGGCTGATGGAATCCAGCCGGGTTGAGGTCGACTGGGCGATCTTGGCCTCTTGTCAACAGCTCACAATCTGACGCTCCTCACTCCTCTGCCTTCGTGAAGGTCGTGCTCTTGGTGGACTCTCTGGCGATGCCTTTCTTCCTCTGCTGGGACCTTTTTCTCGGTGTTCTCGATCTGCTGGACTTCCTTCTCTTCTCACCCCTTCTACTCTCCTCTGCCTTCTCGCCTGGGACTGAACTGGCCTGCCAATCCTCCAAGCTCACCCAAAAGATTGCGCAACCGAAGGGTGGTGATCAAGATGAACCGGTCAGTCGTGCTCTGCTCCCGCACCACTCGGAACAGCCTGTGCAGCGACGCGCACACGCCGCACTGGTAGGCACTGTTGTGCCCCCACATCCAAGTTGAGCCGGAGCTGCGATCAAAAAATGGTGTCACGTCTCTTCGTCTTTAGTTGCGAGGCCGTAAGTACATATACAGTATACAAAGCATTGGAGATTTGAGGAAGGCAATGCCATCGCATTCTGCGAACTTGCTGCCCTTTTCCACCACCAGGGCTTTCGTATCCAAGGCGATTACCATGTTCTCACAATGCACTCAGTTACATGTGTAGTGCGCCAAGCTTTTCAGTTCCTGATCAAAGATCAGAATGTACAACTGAGCCCTGGTGTTTTCTCGGCCACCCATGTCAAGTCATGTGGCCGTGTTTTGCCACAAAGCGCAATTGTAAATGCAGTTCCCTTTGTGCATGACGATGCACTCCTTTTTCTTGCACAGATCCTGTGTAGCGGTGCGGGGCGCACGATTGAGTCGTGGAGCTCTCCATTTCATTGTGGTTGAGGCCTATGCATGTGGGCTTTCTTACATGTCTGGATCAGAGTATCCAACATGTCGTCGTCGCGGCAGACTGACCGTCCGATGGGTGGGTGATATACCGTATACAAAAATATATGTGAAAAAATCGGGGCTGTGTTGTTCTGTGTGAAAGGTGGGAAAGCAACTCGTCAGACTAGTCGCCTGGGGAGATTTCTCCGGGTTGAGTCACTTAACGGTTGGTCTGACATCGAAGCCTTGCCACAAATGTGCGGCTTCAAGCCAATGCCCTGCATGTCTGGTGACAACCTTGGCAGGCTCCAAGTCTGGGTGCTTTTTTGATTCTCCTAGTTGCAAACACATCGGCGGCTACGCCATAGCCATACAAAAACTGTCCAGTGCTTTCCTTCTGCATCCCTTCTGCGAAAGAGTTTGCAGCCTTGTCCTGCAGCTGGGCTTGGGGCTTGTAGGCCACGCCCAGGTCCCTGCCGTTCTTGGAGAAGGAGATGGTCTGCTTCTCTCGATCTAGCATGCAGCCTTGGGATGCACATAGGTCTGATTGTTTACAGAACTGTCTAGCTCGCAGCTGAAAGAGACAACGTGACGGAGTTTTCAGTAAAATTTGGCTTCTGGCCGATGATATCACCCTCCTCGAAAGGCTCCCCGTAGTCCTGAGTATATAAGACCTTTAAAAGGCAACCCTTGATGCAAGGACAACAAAAAAGCAGTGCGCTTAGTCAAACAAATCGGTGCACAAACATCTCAAGAGTATTCAAGATCAGGAACACAGTTCATTTGTTTTGAGGGACAGTTAGTTGTTGCAGATTGCAAATGGTGTCGCCATCATCGACAAATGAATAGATTTGAATAGATGCCTCAAACTTCCGGTTCCAGCTCTTTTTTCCAGTTGAGCCGTACCCAAAGCCTTGGCCAGAGCTGCAAAAAAGGTTCTCATATCGCAAGCCATGGTGAACAGCATGAAGTATCGATGGGGCGGTGTTCCCAAATGGTGTGTTCGAAATGCAGTGGGAGGGTGGAAACAAAAGACTGTTGCAAGCTGAGGTGCTCTTGTCATCGATCCCCAGTTCGAGCTTCGCAAAGCCCGCACTCCAACCTCTCAAGAACTTCTAAGAGGATGAATTGCAGGTCAAATAAACACAATGTGAGTATTTCGCAAACCTTTTGACGCGGTGACATCGGCTGGCACGAAGAAGTGCCTACTCGAACCATTCCCTCAACAACCTGCAAGGTTCAAGCATGGCTGGCACAAGCAAGCTTGTAGGTAGTGCCAACGGATTGCTGTAGGCCCCCAATGCAACAAAATTTCAAGTCTAAACCCTTGCCTTAACCTACCATTGACAAATTGAGACTTCAATCATCATATACTGGGACTTTACCAACCACCTTGAAGTGTTGCTACTGATGTTGGTCATGGCCGCCAACTTTGTGTGGTGAAGTTTGCTCCGGTGATGTGAGCTTGCACGAGACCCAACGTACTTCATGGTGAGCGAGTTCACAAATGTAGGCAACAGTTTGGTGAACAGCCATCGCTCCTCTTCCTCACCTAGCCAACTGATTGGCTCCTTGCACATCCTTGCACTGGCTTTGGAATGTGAAGCAGCTCAAGTGTCTACTATGCTCAAGTAGGACCTGGGCCACACTTTGCAATTCGTGCACTTGGCCGTCATTGTTTGAACCCTCCTCGAGTCTCAGAGATGACACAGAATGTCTCATTGTTGCACGACAGACGGGCGACAGCGGCGACATGAACTTCTGCAAGGGCGACCTGTGCTGGACCATGCGATGTGAACCTAGACCAAAGAAGCCAGATGAAATGATCGATGATCTTTCCCGGAGGGCCCTGGGCAGAACAGCAAAGGCGAACCACCACCCAGCCTCTCTATGTGGTTGGGCTAAGCAAATCACAAAAAGCAAACCGAAACGTCTGCGAAAGTCAGAAAAACTGACAATCCCATTGCCTCCACTTCGAACATGTACTTGCCCTTCATGATGTCAAGGGTAGCTCGAATCCTCAGTGGCCCAGTTTGGACAATGGGCTGTAGTGCAAAAGCCCATTGAGAAAAAAGATGACACCAATTGATTGGTAGCTCTGAGAACGACTCCCGTTCCAGCGTTTGTCATCTTCGCTTTTGCACTCCATGCCGTCCTCCGTGACGAGCACAAACATGTCCTGCATCAAGCAGAGCAAATTCTTGCGACTGTCTTTCACAAAGGCCATTGTTGGACAGCTGTGCATACCTCACCCGACCTTGTCGTTGAGATTGAGCTCGCACTTCAGATTAGAAGCATTGGCCTTCCTTCAAACCCATGTGTGTGTGTGTGCACATCATGTTACATCGCAACATGACGTTGTGTTGTACTGGGCTTCATTGTGTCGCATGCTTGCATGCATTCTTATTGTAAACTTTTTAGCATGCGCACAAATGCAAGTAGAGAGGTTGCCAATAGACATGGCAACCAAGTTGAAGACTCTGTGGCAACCAAAAGTTTCGAGCAGCACGGGGCAAGTCAAGACAGGACTCTTCGTAGCTTTTTGCTTAAAGTCCCAACGCTGCGCTGCTCGACAAGCAAAGGAGCATTTGGTCACAATCTATACAGAAGCACCTGGTACTGCACTTGCCACGCAAAGTTTCGTGTACAATCTGCAAGCAAGGAAGACCTGGGTGGGCTGGTTGAAAAGAGTTCAACCACAACTTTGAATGGCTGGGTGAATGAAGGCTTTCTGAAAAGTCTAGAGAGTAACATCCCTCTTTCAGCTAAAACCTAATTAAACACTGCACAAAGTCTTGGCACTTGGATCCCAGAAGACCGCAACTGTCTATATAGCAAAAACAATCGATGTGATAAACTGATTTTGAAACAAGGATATAGCTAGCTATGTATCAGGAATGTTTCTACAACCTTTTCTGGATGTTAATTTGTTTTCGGGTCCGAAGAAGCGAGTGCAAAGCATTCAAGGTGAGGAAACGGGATCAGTCCCAAACCGAAGGCACCCGTCTTGCCACTTCCAGTCTCAGCGGCAACGAGTACATCACCTCACGTCACTTAAAAACAAACAACCGGTGCTCTGGAACTCAAAGGCGTGCTGCTTGCTGCGCTCGCTTTAAAAAATCCAACAAAAAAAGTTCAAGTGACTTTTGGTTTCACTACTCCGCCTCCACCAAGAATCAAAGGAACCGCCTGCAAGGGAGACAGACACCAGGCCCATGCCCATGAGCAAATTACCGAAACAAATCACCTCAACTTCGCTTAACTTGTTGTTTTATTGTGCATTTTTGACAGTCATATATCGTATGTCATATGGAGTCATATACCACAAAATACGCACATCGGCAGAAAATTGAACCTCAAACCTCTGAGGACCAATTTCTGCCCGCCATTGCAACCTCGTGTTAGACTTTCGATTTGTTTTTTTGGGCACGGAAGTTGATCCAGTTCAGCCTCACTACGCTATTTCGTGCATCAACATCACTTCGAACCAAATGCTGAGAAAAGTCGAGGACTTTGATTGTGCAAACCCTGCGATGAGAATTGTAAAAAGAATTGATTGGCTGAAACCCAAGTAATTTAGGCATCGAGGCCTTCCACTCAGCTTTATATAATGCCAAAGCGGAACCACTCCAAAAAGCGACCAAATGCAGCAGCCTCCTGCTGAACTGGTGTTGGGAGCAGCCAATCATCCTGACAAATATGCGATGAACACAGTAAATAAAGCTCAAAACGAACTTGTGTGCTTGTGTCCAGTAATCTTAAGCAAAGTTCGTTGCCCCACGATTGGAAAGTAACATGTGACAACCAAATTCCAACATGTAGAATGTTTTCCGGTCTTCCGCTGAGTATAGAACAGTTGCTTCGACCTGACTTAATTGCAGAATAACGTGCCTCTTCGACTGCTTGAATAATTTCTGGACAAATGCCCAACTCTTCAAAAGCACTCATTGCAGAGGCCTGCCGTTCATGCGCAAGCGCAACGAATTTGAGGGGTTCGGCCAAATGTTTCAAACCTCGCCTAAAACGACAACTCCACATGTAGTGCAAAGAAATATATACAGGCTATATGCTGAGCCAAACCATCTCCACCATTAATAGTTCGTCACATTACAACTGCAAAATCGCCTCAGATCAATGCAACATGCCGTTGCAATCCTTGGAAATTGATTTGTCTAGTCTTGCTACTTTGTCGTCATTCGGAGTGCTGCCCTGCACTTGTATTTTTTCCCGCGAGCACAAATGGTCTCCCAACAGCCATGCGGAAGAAGGAAAGAACAATAGGGATGGGGAATTACAAAGCTTGCAAAGCTGTGCAAGAAATAGGTGAAACAGAACACTCCACCAAAAGTACAAAAGAATAAAAACCAGCTGAACATGCAAATACACAACGCATCAAACAGCACAACGGTGGAGAGCACCAAGAGCAGTACCATGAGAGGCTCGAAAGCCTTTGGCCTTTGGGACTCGGCACAGTCCCATGCATCATAAGCGTGTGGCAAAGGACCAGTTCTATTTATGGCGGCCTGTTTCATGTTACAAAGAAGTTGGCAGTCCGATATGTCAAAAACAATGGGGTCCAAACAGCAAAGAGCAGGAATCCATGTAAGTTTCAACAACCCAGTCTGCGCGGGGTCTACCTGGTCTCCGAAAAAACGGAGTTTTAGGTGTGACACCGTCAAATTCAAAAACAACTTGGACCAACAGCTCCGACTTCGGTGCCCGCAAAATGTGACCAAATAGGCGGCATTTGTGTTTTCCTCTGTCCGAAAGGTTCAAAAGTACATCCATGCTCCTGCTGAATGCTAGCGTACATTCGAGCGCTGGTTTGTTCCCGATCAATGAACGTTCGGGGGGATTCCCAAAATCCTTTTGAGAGATTTGTTTTGAAAGACACTGAGGCGAGATACATCAGCAGTAGTTGGTTGTATGCATTCAAGACTATAGAGAAGTTTAGATCTGACAATAGCGTTGAAGACTTGTATTTTCCATTTGACACTGGTGTTGTTAGCTTTTGACCAGAATATTTTAGGCGTGTTACACGTTGCTACGCAGCCGCTCAGTCTATTGGAGATCCCTGCCCGTTTGTCAAAGGAGTCCAAACAAGGTGCCTAGATACGCAGCAGAACTTGTCCGTGGAACCTTGGCACCTTGTGCAGGACCATTGGGTGCGAAATGAACGGAGGACTGCAGTTGTTTGAAGTGAAGCATCAAGGGCAAAGCACCGCACAAAAAAACGCAAGAACATGCACAAAGTAAATTGTACGTGTTGCGGCGCGGCGCATAGTCATTACTGATGGATTTTTTCCCATTTACGCCGCCAGATGGAAGGCTGCTGAAAGAGCTGAACGAAATGTCTGGCAAAACTCGCTTCTTTCACTCTCGAGCAGTAACGGCCTCGTAAGGCCTATTTGGGTCCATCTCTACATGTCCTATGACATGGAGGTACACGCACACTCTCTCATGTACACCATGTAACACACCTCCTTTGGGTCTAGCGGGTTGGGGCCAGATCCAAACTCTCTCAC